TACCCAAAACAGCTTCAGAAATGGGGTCTGAGATATCCAGGAGCTCAGGTTAACCCAAAATGGGGATAAAGATTTCAAGGGGCTCAGGTGTGCTCAAAAATGAGGCCACATCTGAGGGTGTTCTCTGCTTGGCTGAGCACTGCATGAGGGCTGGGGCTGCAGCAAGGGGGGACACCTCCTTCAGTGGTGATGTCCCACAAACAGGGGAGCTCCACAAACCCCTTTGAACACCCTGGGCTCAGCTGATCCGGCCTGGAAGCTGGGAGCCACCAAAACTGCTTTGTCCCTGCCCTCTGCAACTGCACAGGGAGAGGAAACACAAATGAGAGGCCCAGGAGCTGAGAGAAGGAAAAGGAGAGGTCCTGCCCTGAGCACCGGTACAGGCAAAACAGACCCAGCCTGGGAACAGGGAGTGAATTCACTACCAACCAAATCACAGCAGGACAAGGAGAAGGGAAAGAAATCTATCCAACACCTTCCCTGCACTCAATAGGGATCACACGGATCAGGGATCACAAGGGCTCTGCCCAGCGGGGGTCACTGGGGATCATCCAGCACGGATCCTCCCATGGGGATGGAGCTGGAGCAGTGCACGAAACTCTTCCTGCAATTGGGGTACTGGCATGGCTTCCCTTAGTTGTGCTTCCATTGGTGTGGGGTCAAGGCTGAGCTCTGTGAGAAGCTCTTCCCACACTTGGGACACTTGCAGGGCCTCTCCCCAGCGTGGATGTGCTGGTGGGTGACAAGCTTGGAGCTCGGGCTGAAGCTCTTCCCACACTCCCACACTCACAGTGTGTGGATCTTCTTGTCCTTGATGAGGTGGGAGTTCTTACCGGAAATCTCTGCCCAAATTCCAAGAACCTGTAGGGCCGTTCCCTGAGGTGGATCCTATGATGGGTAACTGTCGGAGTCCAGGACATCCCTCTGGACGCCCTGGATTGCTCTGAGACCCTGGCAGGAAGCCAAAAACACCTGAGTTTTCGATTTTGACCTATGGAACAAATTACCAACCTTGTATGATGAATTACAAGTCACAAAATTTTAAGTAGAATGATAATGAATTTATCACAGGGTGAAAAGTGGAATTTTGGGGATTTATAGAATAGGGGTTTAGGAGGCAAGATGGAGGGATTTGGGCATGCTTTGTCCTTCTTCCTTCTTCTTCCTAGCCTCCATCTTCTGTGTGATGCTGGCACTTTTGGATTGGTTTAGAGTAGAAGTAGACAGTCTGACATAGGTGATAGGTATTGGAAAATAATGGTAAATAAAGTACACATAGTTCATAGTATAAAATTTTGCCACCAGCCCAAGGGCGGACAGGGTGCCTCGGACAGATCTGCTAGGCAGACCACTGTGGGTCAGGAAAAGAATGTATTAGATAAGAGAAAATAAACAGTCTTTAAAATCAGGGCCAAGGAACTCTGACTCCTTCTTCGATCATCTGGCTGGGAAAAAAGAGACTTTCTACTGTTCTCAGGGTCATTCTGACCGCAGAAGTCCTGAGAGGTAAGCAGGTCAGACTTCCATATGAATCTCTTCGCACAATCTAAGCCCCAGCAGGGATGTTCCTTGGTTTGCATCTCCTGCTGCCGGATCAGCAGGAGCTCTGGCTGAAGCTCATTCCACATTCCAAGCACTTGTAGGGTGTCTCAGCTTGAGAGATGACTAAAAGAGGACACTCAGGAGTCAGTGTGGTTCCCTCTACAGGGTTCCGATAATCCCTTTCCACCAACAGGAAATGAAAATTAATAGATGAACATGAAAAAAAAACCTCCAACAGTTTATTAACAAACAGAATGACCACAAGGCAAGAATAATAATAAAAAAAAAAAAAGTAAATAACTGCTAGATATTAAGTTGTCAGCCCTTATCCCCCACACACACACCCTGGGACAAAAGACCCAAAATGCCAGAGACATCCCCGCTCCCGACACGGGGCACAGGTGGCACCGGCTTCTCCCCCAGGGGAAAAGCCAAGCCGGGGCTGTCCCGAAGGAGAGCAGAGCCCGGGGCTCGCCCGGCGCTGAGCTCCTCCCCAGCCGGGCTCCGCTGGCTCCCGGCAGCTGAGGCGGCGGCGCTGAAGCCTCGGGCTGTTTTCTCTCCCGGCTCGGCCCGCTGCAGCCTCTCCCGCCCGAGGAAAGGGAAAATCCTTTCTTTGCCTGGCCCAAAAGAGCTTTTCAGCCACACAGAAAACCACGGTGCGCACAGAGAGCCGCGGAAAAGCCGAGCAGCGAACAAGGAGCCTCTCCCGGCCCGGCCCGGCTCCCGGGGTTAAAGACACAGGAACCATTCTCTGGGCACAAAGCAGATGCTCATTGTGAAAAATGTGTATTTTATGATTGGCTTTTCGCAAGTATTAAAATTAATATTGTGTGTGTTATGTTAAAAAGTTATGCTGTATTAATTTTCTTAAGTATTAAATTAACTATTAAATACTGTCTTAGGTTATATCATAAAGTTAAAATAGAAACTATGCTATGTAAGATATTTGGTTAAGAAAGGACTTGCACTGGATAGACGCCACAGGACACCTTGGAATGTGCCATCACAGTAACTCAATCCAAGACAATTGCATATACAATAATCACAGGTCTCTCTCTATCTATAAAAGCACCTACTGAACTCTGGATACAGCAATGTGCACCAGGACAGGAGTGGAGAGGCTGAACAGACACCAGGGGAGATGCGGAATGTACGGACAGGGCAAACTCTCCAAGGGCTTTAACCTGATTCCCAGCTTTTCTGTGTTCCAAGAGCCTTGGCTACAGGATTTGAAAGAACTGGGATCTCAGCGTGAAAAGCAGAGCAGTCAGAACCAGACACTGCTGTTGGAGTATGTGACACGTTGGTGTTCGTGTGTCTGAGATTTAACACACAACAGACCTCCAGTGCTTCAGCAGCCAAACAGCCTGGTTTGTTGTTTCCCACCACCCTTGATGGGCAATTCAAAAACTCCCAGTGCTATACAGGCACTGGTCTGGTCTCTACACCTCCCAGGCTCCCAAGCAGTCAAATGCTTGCATTTTGGGAGGGTTGTTATTGGTTGGAACCTCTGTCAGTGAGCCCAGAGGCTGGTTCACGGAGCTGGGCTGGATTTCTTACTTATAACTGGATTAACACTTCTGCAACAAGTCTAGACTTGCGTCCTAGATTGCCAAGCAATGTGTATTCTGTTTACCATCTGTCAGAGCTATGGCAGTGGTCTTCTGTTAAGTGGGCAGTTTTCCTGATCTCTTCCACAACCAATCCTCCCTCCAGGGAGACACCTGCTCTTCAGGGGCCATTGAATGGCACTGCATGACTGAGAAGAATTACAGCATCCCACTGTGACATGCCCTGCCCAGAGGGAGCAGCCAAGCATTCCCAGCTGGATAGAACCTGACATCTTGGGACACCAGAACAGCATTTCTACTGGATTCCCAGAGCAGCAGCTGCCTCTTCCACTGCATCTTCAGAGGAAGACTACACCCTTCTCTACAGCATCCCTGCTCCAACAGAACCACACCTGCTACTCCAGGAGGACTGCAGCCACCATTCCAATTGGACTGCTACCAACAGCCTGACCCACAGGGTGCCAGGTTGTATTCTGACTCTGTCAGTCTTCTTTTGATTTAGTGCATTGTTTATTTTATTATTTTCTTCCCTAAAAAAAGAACTGTTATTCCTGCTCCCATATCTTTCCCCGAGAGCCCCCTTAATTTCAAATTTATAGCAATTCAGGAGGGGCAATTCAGAGGGAGGGGAAACTGAGCAATTCAGTTTCCAGCTCAGGGGAGGCTCCTGCCTTCCTCAGGAGACACCTGTCTTTCCAAACTAAGACAACTTGTCACGTGTCAGATTTGAAAATACATTGAATAAAAAACTCCATTATGCACAAACTTTCCCAGCCCATCCCTCCTGGTATATAACAAAAAGTGATTAATCTCATTTTAAAGGGGGAAAATATTGTAAAATGAATGTAAAAACTATTCCCTCATAAAAAAAAAAAAAATTCACGTTAAGAAAATACAGAATAATGAAGTGTGAAAAAAAAGAAGAAAACATACTGTCATGTCTCAGGCATTTGGCTCCGAGCCGGCTCAGAGCCGGGCTCTGTCTCCCAGGTGCCCAAGTCCCCGGGCCAGCTCTGAGCAGCCTCTCCCGGCCTCCCAGCCCGGCTGTGTCCCGGCCGTGCCCCGGGCAGGCACTCGGTGTTTCTGCGGTGCCCCTGCCCCGCTCGGCTCCCCGTGCCCCGCAAAGGCGCCGAGGCTGCGCTCGGTGCCCCTGGGTGTCCCTGCGCCAGGCAGTGACGAGCCCGGTGCCCGGCAGAGCCCCGAGGACACCCAGGGACACCCCTCGGGCCCGGCCTCCCGCGGGACACGGAGCCGCTGCCCACCGGCCCCGGCACGGCCGGCCGAGTCCTCCTGCCCCGAAGAGCCCGGGCTGAGCCCCAGGGCTCGGCAGGGCCGGGCTGGGGCTGTCCTGGGATGCCGAGAGAGAGAAATGCTTCCCGGGCATCCTTCTGGGAAAAGCTGTGAGAAGCCCAGGGAAAAGAATGAAAACAATCTACAGCGCATGTTCTGAACTCCTGTTTCTCACAAGAAGGTGTTTCTCATAACAAGGTGTTTACAAAGGGTGGTTTCTTAATAAGCCAGTGGTGATGGTGTGTTGATTAAAGGACCAATAAGGGCCACCTGTGTCAGCACAGAGTATTAAAAGGAATGGGTTCCTAATAAAATTGTTATCACCCTTCTGACCTAGAGTTTGTGTCACTTATTACCCGTTCCTGACTCACTGGTGACAGTGGCCAAAGCCTCCCAGGGCTCTGGGCACCGCAGGGGCCACAAGGCCACAGGGCCGGGGCTGCTCCGTGCCCGTTCCACTCTGTCCCTCCCTTGCTGGGTGCCGGCTGTGGCCCTTTGTGACACGGGTCCCTGCCAGGGCCCTCGGTGATGTGGGACATTGTGGGGCTGTCATGAATGAGAGTGACTGAGATTGCTTAAAAATCAGTGGCAAGGGCATGAGCAAAAGGCAGATTTAATGTTTAGCAACAAAGCACAACAAGTTCATTGGCAAGATTCACTCTACTGCCCATAGGAGCACTAAGGCACAAGGGAAAACAAGCAACAAAAAATCCAAACAAAATGAAGACAACCAAAACAGAAATGCACTGAGAACTCTCTAAGAGAGAGTGAGTGGGTGTGTGTTGTGTTAGGTGAGTGGTACAAAAGACAGTGTGGGCAGGGATTAAAGGAACACAGCCTAAAAACAACACTGAGCAACACTTCAATTTCTACTTTAATTTATAACTTAACTGATACCTTAGTGCTAGCAATTCAACAGAGCAATAACACTTAGCATTTAACCTAACTTACAGCTATAACTTCCACATTCTACTTAGCAACTTAACAGAAAAACAAAACTTAACTTATAACTTATGTTTAACCAATTAGCAAAAGAACAACATTTGGCAGCATTTAAGTAAGCTCCTAACTATAACTGAACCTTGCTAACAGGCCTAACTTAGATATCCAAGGTACTTAGACATCTAAGAAAGCAGTATTTCTCCCAGATTTCCTATAGCATATGTGCGACTTTAGGGGGGTCCTGGCACCTTTTGGGGTTTGCTGGATCCCCCACTGGGGTTCCTATCAAGGTCCCTCCAGAGCGGGGTGACACGGGGGAACACACGGGGGTCCCCATTCCCCATCCATCCCGGGGTCAGTTCTGCTCCCTCCCCCTCCAATCTCGAGACCCCCGCGGGGTCCCCCCAGTCCCTCCCCAGTGCTCCCCATAAACTGGACTGGGTTTAACTGGGAAGCTTTACTGGGAACACTGGGAGCAGCTGGGCGGGGCAGAGTGACAGCGGGGCTGGGGGGACACACGACCCCCCCCCAAAATCAGGGCGGGGACGGAGCGGGGGGTCCCGGCCGGGCCCGAGGCCACGGGGAGGGGCTGCGGCCGGCGGCGGCTCAGGAGCTCTGTGGGCAGAGAAAAGGGGGTGACACCGGGCTGGGGGCCCCGGGGGGAGCACACACGCTCCGGGGGAGGGGGGACACGACCCCCGGACCCCCCCTCACCTTCTTGCACAGGTAGAAGCCGACAGGAGGACAAAGCGTGGGCGCTGGGCCCGGGGGGAGCACGAGAAGTGCGGGAGGAGAAGGAGGCGGGAAGAGAAAGGAACGGGAGAAGGGCCCGGATAAGAGAAAGAGGAGAAGGAGGCGGGATTAGCAAAAGGAGGACGAGCGGGAGGAAGAGGAGGGAGAGAGGAAGAGGAGGAGCAGGAAGAGGTGGAGAAAGACGAGGGAGGAGAAGAAACCTCGTGCTGGGCTCCCGCTGCTCTGAGCACTCCGGGCCCTGCAGCGCCGCCTCGCCCTGCCCCTCTCCGTCCCGCGGGTCAGCTGGGAGGGGAAGCTCGCCCCGGATATACCGGGGGGTTCCTGGCGGGCTTTCTGGGGGGTGGGTATTTAGAGGAGGACTCCAGAGGTAAACCACACGTGTCCGTTGGGCGGATAACGGGGTTCCCGACCGGTTGGGGGTTTTTGGGAGGGGCGCAGGTGGTTGCTGTCGGCAGAGCGCGGGCGGGGGGCTGCGGGATCCCCGGATCGTCCCTACGAGAGATCCTGGAGAGGGGGAGAGCAGGAGCCACGGGACCCCCATCAGCCCAGGAAGGGGGACCCGCGAAACACCAAAGTGTGAAGATCACAGAGGGGGAACTCCTGGGAGGGTATTTTGGGCTGAATCTTGGTAGTTTGAAGACTTCTATGAACACAAAACACCCAGTGACTTCCTGAGATGGACTTTGGTCAGGAGGAACCCCCATCCCAAGACACTCAGTCCTTGTTTTTCCCCCAAACCAGGATCTGTAAATCCCAAGCTGTTGCCAGATGGAGGAGGAGGAAAAGCCCTGGAGATATCGCACAAGGAGGGGCTGCAAATCCAGCCCAGGGAGCTGCAGGGAGGAAAGAGCCCCCCTGAGCCAGAAAGGTGGCCGGAGGCCCTACAAATGTGGGGAGTGTGGGAAGAGCTTCAGCAAGAGCTCCGGCCTGGTCCAGCACCAGGTGACCCACACTGGGGAAAAGCCCTATGAGTGCTTACAGTGTGGGCAGAGCTTCAGCTGGAGCTCCAGTCTGACCAAGCACCAGAAGATCCATAGCGGGGAATGCCCCTATGAGTGCTTGGAGTGTGGGAGACGCTTCAGTGTGAGGTTCTCCCTGATACACCACCAGAGAATTCACACTGGAGAGCGGCCTTTTGAGTGTTTGGAATGTGGGAAGAGCTTCATCCACAACTCCAGCCTGCAGAGCCACCAGAAGGTCCATACTGGGGAACGGCCCTATAAATGCATGGAATGTGAGAAGAGCTTCAGCAATAGCTTTTGTCTGGTTCGCCACCAGATAATTCACACGGGGGAACGGCCCTACACGTGTAGAAAATGTCTAAAGAGCTTCAGTGACTACTCCAACCTCATCAGCCACCAGCGGCTGCACTCTGAGGAACGGCCCTACAAGTGTGAGGACTGTGGGAAGAGCTTCAAGCTCACATCCTACCTCAGCCGCCACCAGAAGATGCACAACAGGGAGAGGCCCTATGAGTGTCCCAAGTGTGGGAAGAGGTTTCGGATCCGTGCCCATCTCCTCCAACATCAGTCAGCACACATAGAGGAGAGGCCCTTCTGCTGCCCTGACTGTGGGAAGGGCTTCAAACGCAATGCCCACCTCTCCACCCACCAGCGCATCCACACTGGGGAGAGGCCCTACAAGTGTCCTGAGTGTGGGAAGAGCTTCTGCAGGAGCTCTCGCTTGACCCGACACCAAGAGAGGCACCACTAAGGGAAGCCCTGTGAGTGCCCCAAATGCAGGAAGAGCTTCGTGCGCTGCTCCAGCTCCATCCCCCATGGGAGGATCCACGTTGAATGATCCCCAGTGACCCTGTTGGGCAGAGCCCTGGTGATCTGTGGTTCTGGCTGGGGGTGCTTCACATCTTCCTGTCTCCTCATGGGCACCTGGATGAATGCAGGGGCAGAAACATCCATTGGGATGCAGACTGAGAGTAGGAATCACATACTGATGGCCCCTGGAGATCCATGAGGATGCAGAGATCCCCCTGCAGCCCCTGGAGCAGCCCCCTGGAGAAGGGGGATACCTGAGAGGAGCCTGTAACCCCATGGGAGACCCATGGACAGACGGGTTCCTGCTGGAGCAGCCTGTCCTGGAAGGACTGTTCCCATGGCAGAGTGGCCCACGCTGCAGCAGCTGGAGGGGGCTTGCCCCATGGGAAGGACTCAGGTTGGAGAAGTTCCTGGAGAACTTTCCTGTGGGAGGGACTCCAGTACTGAGAAGGGAATGATTCCTGTCCCTGAGCAGAGGGAGAAGCAACGGGGAGATGAACTGAGCACGGCCCCATTCCCTGTCTCCGTGGACTGTCGGAGTAGGAGGTGCAGCTGGAAGGAGGGAAGGGTGGGAGAAGGTGTTTTGAAGGGGTTTTCTTCTATTTCTTATTATCCTGCTCTGAGTTTGTTAGCAATAAATTCAATTAATATCTCCAGTTTCAAGCCTCTTTTGCCCATGATGATGTTTGATGAGGGATCTGTCCTGGTCCTTACATCACCTCCTGAACCCCTGGTTAAATTTTTTCTCCTCTGTCCGGCTGTGCAGGGCAGTGAGAGCGGCTTTGGTGGGTGCGCGGCATTGGGCCGGCATCACCGCACTCCAATGGGACATGTCCTCGTGTGGCCCTGGGCTATGGTGACACTGTTGCTGTTGCTTTTGGCTTTCTTATGAATTTATCTTTTGCATTAAATGCTTGTGAAGTGCCCCCGCTGTCCCTCGTGTTCCCCTGGCGCCGGCAGCCCCGTCCCTTCCCTGCTCCCCCTGCCACGCTCCATCCTGGCTGGAGGAGCCCTGGAGCTGCCGTAGGGGCCGTGGGGCTGCCCCGGGGGCTGCGCCCCGAGCCGGGGCCCCTTCCCAGAGCTCCCGTTCTGCCCTGGAGCCTGGAGCAGCCAGCGAGGGCATCAGCTGGGACGGCAGAGAGGCGCTGCTGGGGGGTCCCACATCAGTTCTGTTTGGTTGGTAGTTCCCAGCCTGGGGAAAAATAATTTCAGGAGTTTTTTGCTAAACCCTGTCCCATCCTCTGCTCAGCCGTAGGGGTTTGGGGTGGTTTTCCCTTTTTGGGGGAAATCAAAGCCATGTGGAGCTGAGCCCTGGGGCAGCCCCGAGGGAGAAAGTGTGGGACTGACTGGGACCGTTCCTCCCCTCCATTCTCACCAGTCAGCGCTCAAGGACAAGGAGTGATGGGAGAATCAGCTGGGTGAGGTGCAGGTTGGGTAGACGGGACAAACTGCCCCAGCCCTTGCAACGTGCTGCTCTCCCAGGAAATGTTGAGATTTGCACACCTGGAATGTCCTGGCCTGGGCAGGAGGCTGAGGAACCGCTGCTGCCCTGAACCACCAGGAGCTCGGGGTCACCTGGAGCTGGAGGCACTGGGAGCTGTGGCTGAGGCTGGGAAGGAGCAGGGACACACCTGCAGCCCTGAGCTGCAGGAGCTCAGCCCGGAGCAGGGGATGCCTGAGAGAGACCCCGAGCCTCTCTCTTCAGATTTCTCTCTCTTCAGCCTCTTTCAGATCTTCCCCTGATGGGAGGCCCCTGCAGAGCCATGGAAGTGGCTCCTGGCGGGTCCTGTGAGCCCGTGGCGGATCCCCCTGGAGCAGCCCATTCCCAAGGGACTGTGTCCCGTGGAAGGGACCCCAGGCTGGAGCAGGACAAGGATTCTTGACCCTGAGGCTGTGACATGGCCTGGTTGTGACCCCCATCCCCTGTGCCTCTGGGTGGGGAGGAGGGAGGGAATCTGGGAGAAAGCAAAGACCGGGAAGCAGGCAGAGGTGAGGGGAAGTGTTTATGGTAGGATTTGGTTTACTTTTCCTTCTGCACTGACGTGATTGGCAATTGTCCTGGTTTAAAAGATAGGTGTCTGCCAAGGAAGGCAGAAACCTTCCTGGAACGGAAAAGATGACCCCCTCCCTCCAAAATATTATACCTTTGAAATTATGGAGCTTTCAGGCACAGATATGGGAAAAGAAATAATAGCTCTTTACTAGAATCTTTACTAGAATATATATATATATTTGTATATGTATATATATGTATATGTATATATATGTGTGTGTGTATATATATATATATATATAAAATAACAACACGGACAAACAAGACCACAGACAAACAGCACCACAGACCAACAAATCCTAATCCCAGCCCTTTCCCCCCATCGAGCCCAGATTTCCCCTTTGGTGCAGTTACAATCGTGACCGGACGGGGACACCGCTCCTTTGGGGATCCCCGGGTCAGCGACCTGTCCCCGCACCGCCCCCCCAGCAGCGAAGGCAGGCGGGTCCCATCGGGCAGCGCCGGACCTGGTGCCACCCCCGGCAGCCGCAGGGACGGTGACAAGGGGCAGCGAGGCGACAGCGCAGCCGTGTCCCGGGAAACGGGCGCCGCTCCCCGCACACGCGTGAGCGCTCGCTCTCCCTGCCATCCCCGGCCCCTAGAGTCCCGGAGTGCACCGCAATACCTCTCGAGGTATTCCTGCAATTCCCGAGAAAAATTTCCCCCCAGACAGAGAAGTCACCCCCCAGCCAAGCCTTCCAAACTCTCCATTCTCTGGCTGAGCCATTCCCGTGGTGTGTGAGAGTGCGTGGCCATTTCGTTTGTTTGCCCCTGTTTATCTCCCCTCTCTCCCCCTCACTGTTTTTTTCGTTCAAGTAGAAGATAGGATAAGAAATTGGCTGACCAATTGGGAAAAACCCAAACATTCAAACAACAACAACAACAACAACAACAACAACACCTTATCCCCAACAATAATAAATTCAATTAATTTCCCCGAGTCAGACGTATTCTGCCCATGAGTGACCTCTCCCTGTCCTTACCCTGACCCTGGAGCCTCTCCTTGTGTTCTGTTCCCTGCCCAGCCTCAGGAAAGCAGTGACAGAGTGGTTTTGGTGTCACCGGGTACCCGGCCAGACCCAGACAATCCCAATAATCGCTGCAATAATTCGCTCCAACATTAACCAGCCCCACGGTGGGTCCAGCTGCAGGGCCAGGCAGCTGGGAAAAATGGGACACAGGGAGAGGTGTGGTGCCAGTGGGCGAAATCTCCTCCCCCTGAACTGTCAGGGGGAGGAGGAGGGAGAATCTGCTGCAAAGTAAAG